CCGTGTCTGTGTGGTTTGGTTTTTTTTAAAAACTGAAGCAAGCAAAAGATGTCAGAGCCAGTTGAGTTATGCTGGTCACTAAGAACTATACTCATGTAGCTAAGAGCAGAGTCTGGTTGAGGGGCTTTTTGATTGTGTTTACCGCCGCTGGAATCATTTTGAGGATTATTTCTTCTTGAATTCAGCATTTAAAAAGCTTTGTAACATAATTCTGGATAAAAAAAATGAGAACAGGCTGAGTATTGCCTCAGATACCAAATGCAAGCACATTCCAATCTCATGCAGACCTAAAGCACACTCAGTTTTGCACATATATTAAGGGGGCCTGTTGCCAGCTCCAGCTAATATTTATTGCACGGTAAAGCTCTGCAGAGGGATTTGAGTACAGTCCTTTAAAGTTTTCTTTCAGGAAACTAAAAAACAAACAGCTTTGCGTTCATTTCCATGTGAGCTCCAACATACTAACAGGTTCCAACAGTTATTTTTCCTTTGCATCCTTTCCCCTAACCAATCCTCCTCCATCACTTGACAAAACACACGAATAGCTGCATTCAAAGCTGTTTATACCGTAGCAAACAGACATCTCAGTAGATCCCTGTAAAAACAGGTGCACAAAAGCATAGTATTTTTCAAACGTATTTCCCATATGCATGCCCCTTATCTAAACGGCCCTTGACTTCAGCAGATGTTATGTCCTCGCAACTAGGTCAGTTTGCACTGGAGCGATCTGAGGCTAAAGGCAGAGGAGAGAAAATTAAATTGTGCTCCTGCTCCACAGACTGTGGCTGTCAAACAGATCTCTTCTCGTACGCTAAAGCAATGAATTCACCACCAGTTAAGCAGAGATTTGAGTGGCAGGGCGATAAAACAGCTTGGTGATCAATGGTCAAGTGCACTTGCTGCATTATCTCCACTTAAACTATTCCAAAATATAATGAAAGTAAGAGTTCAGGGAAATAACTGTTGCCAAGATATCTGGATCAGCCTCATCTACATCACTGTCACTATGCATGGCCAGCATGACTGATCATACTGCTGCATTCGTTTGAAAGATCTTGGCTCCGGCCTTTCATTGCTTGTGCTATTGGCACTTTATTCGTCACACACACACACAAGTAAAGATAGTAAATCTCGGTTTTCACCTGTGGGCCTATGCTGCAGAAGAAGGGGAAAAAAAACCCAGCTTTTCAAGTTGCTGCTTAAAATCTTGAGCAACTTGTTGGCAGCCTTCTGCAGCAGGAAAGCCTGCAGTTGATGAGCTGTGCTTTCACCGCTGTCACTACAATTACTGATAAATTCTATTTTCAAAAAGGACACAGGACAATTCGACTAAGCCAAACAAATTTTTCAGCAAACATGCAAACAACAGGGAGCATGCACCAGCCTCAGAAATTAAGCACACAGGGTAGGTTATCATTTGCATACGCGATGCAAAACAGGCTCATAAGGAGGATAGGTCATTTCACACACAGTCATTTCACATATGTAAATTTCAGCAGACAAGTGCAGTGTAACTGACAAATGCTCTGGAAGGTAATGATCATCAAACTTTCCATAAGATTTCACATATAATCTCAAAGAGACAGGCTGATTAAACATATACATCTACTATTGGAGCCCTGGGGTATTTTGCCACTGACCTGAGCAGGAGGATTGAGCTATATAGATTATTAATATAGTATCATAGCCATTCATGGTGCTTTACAGACACATAAAAGCAAGAGAGCCCTGACCCAAGAACACAGCAGCTACAGGACATATAGAGAGCATGTACACACACAGCACATGCTTGTGTGGGTATATAAATAAGATTAGATAATACATATGCAGAATCTGCACGTATGCAAGAAGTTTTTTATTTCCCTAAGAAACCAGAGACCACTAGCAAATTCCATAGTGTCAAAGCAAAGCACAGCCAGGAGTGAGTTATTCAGTCAGGCCTAACAAGCAAGCAAGTGTGCTTTGCTTTGACACTGTGGAATTTGCTAGTGGTCACTGGTTTCATAGGGAAATAAAAAACTTCTTACATACGTGCAGGTTCTGAAGTTAAGTTTTCCAATCATCCTCACTGTGTGCATGGCACAGCAGAAATGAATTCTGAGCAAGCCAGTCTGTCACTCCCCCATAAAAAGGTAACCCCCCCCCACCTCCAGGAGTTACAAATAACTGAGGAAAGTTATCTTGTCAAGCAAAATGGAACCATGAATGCATTATTTGGTTATTTCTAACAAGGCAAAATATGGAGTTTATTCAACTGCCCAGCAGTATTACATATTGTAATTATACCACATAGCATTTCTCTATTTGCTTTTCCTTCTCTGTTCTCACTGGCTTCCTTCTCAGCCAGAGTTGTCACTCAGGGCTCAGTCTTGCAATCCATGCATGCTCATGCAAATAGTCCTTACTCATATGAGTAGTTCCAATGGGTTAAATTCTGCTCCCAGTCAGCTCCGTGCAATTCTGTAGTACTTCCATTAATTTCAATGTAGTCACTCCTGATTTTCACCACTGTTACTGAGAATAGGATTTGGGACACCTTGTCTGAATAAGGACCTTGACATCAGTATTTTACAAAACATTTCCCACCCCTGCTCAGGGACAAGTTCAGTTCCACAGGTGCTAGCGCAGGTGGGGAAATGCTAGTGCAGATGCAGCCATTTATATATTGCTCTTCAAATGAAATTCCACATTTGCATCTGTTAGTTGTACTAAAGACTTTCTGGCGTTTGTTGAGGCTGAATAATAAGTGATACAGGAAAACAGCAGCTCTAACCACTGGCCTTGGTTCACGCTGTGGTATTTTTCATTGGCTAGTTGTCTAGTGCTGTTTATAGATCTGGCTAGGTGTTAATGCAGGATATCCTGCTGAACAAGATAAAGTCTGACTATATCATGCTGTTAAAAGAGATGGAGGAGGGTAAAGTTTAGCAAGGCCTATGTAGAATTTATACCCCCAAAAGGCAGAGGTGCCAGAGTCTCCCTGAATTCCATCTGGAGCTTCACTGTTGCTACTGATTTTACATGGTCAACGTTCAGATACTGCGGTGATGGATGTGCATAAACCCCCAAGATAGTAAAAATTCATATAAATTACCTCTACTGCTGCCACTGAAAGCAAATGGCACTAGGGTGCCACTGAAAGGGAGACCATCTAAGTGGTATTTTATTCCTTGGTTTATTAGTTTAGCATCAGGTTGTGCCTCACTCATTCACACTGACAGGTAGCTCCCACTGAAATTGGGGTACCTACCCATGAAGTAAGATATTACTCAATGTGAGGAAAGCATGGCACAATCTGTCACTTAAAAAATTAAATATCCATAGAAGCTCATATAATATGATTTCATTGCTGAATTTAAAATGTGGTGCATTTTATTATACATATATAAAGCTACATGTATCACTATATGGAAACAACTGCAAATGTTTATTTAATATGATAGGGTATATTAATGGTGCTTATGATAGTTACAGTTCACTTTAAGTTACATACTGTCTACCATACTATGTGGGATGAGAGAGATTTTCAAGAACCTATTTAGAAACGCAAGTGCCATGGGCCTTCAATTGGATCTATGCTCCTAAATCACATAGGCTGTTTTGAAAAAATCCCACTCATATTTACACACACTGAAAGATGACACCTTTTCAGTTCCAGAGGCTGTCCCAACACATATACAAGAGCGTGCATGTTTATACAGAGGTATCCCTAAATTGTTCACCCAGAAAGCAAACTCAGTTTGATGTACATCATTTTCTCGCTCTTTTACTCTTACCTCTGCCTTTGATACCAGACACAATGAGTTTTGCACCTTCCCATTATAACAGACCTCATTATGTAGCTTCTGTGATAGACAATCTACAGCACTTTTACCTAACAGTGAAGATTTGTGGTATTGTTGTACTTACCAGTGTATCACTTGACTAGCACAAGGAATACTAGTAACACGGGGGAGATGGAATAAATGCCCTATTCTATCTACTTCGTATCTATTCAACAGAACTCGGGCACTGTGACATTTGATCTCAGTTACCGGCCAGCTGGAAACCCAGCAACCCTACCAATCTATTCTGTACGCCCATTAAATGCGCTCGGGTTTTGAAACCAGCCCTCTAGTCTCCCTAGAGTTAGACATGCACGCGAACAAGAGACACAGAAGAAGGGTAACCCCTCAGCTGTGCTGAGTCATTTACAACAGTCAAGCGTTTCACAGCTTAAACACGATTGCTCCCATTGGGGTTTGCAAGCCACGTTACTGTGGGTTAACGGAAACCCCCTTCCACTTCCCCTTCTCTTTCTGTGCAATCACCAGACACATTCACAGCAGCAGCAGGGGCCGATAGGAAATTCACCTTTACGCATTAGTAGGAGAAAGTACACCAACTTGCAGCTGTTCATCAGGTACTGTAACTTTAGCCACCACAGCGGTGGAAGATGGCCCTCGAGGAGAGGGGACGAGGAAAAAAAAAAAAAGAGAGAGAGAGAGAGAAAGAAAACCGCTACCCATACAGCCTGGGGCACAGATCTGGGCCACACACTTTACTGCATCGAGCTTGTCTGTTGCATCAAACAATTGCGGGTTGTCAAGTAGGACGGACAGAAAATGTTCTATCAATTACGCGTGTGTGTCTGTCTGTCTGTCTTCCATTTACTGACGGGGAATGATCAGCGAACCGAAAGACACGAAGTGAAGCGGGGAGCACACAGCTCCGGCACTACTAAAGACAGAGCAGGAAGCGGAGGCAGGAGTAGATTTAGCAGAGATGGGTCACCCCGGCTAGGCTCGGCGATACCGAATCAGGCTACCTGAGGATCGAAAGCCCAGCCCCAGGGGAGCTCCCGGCCCTTTCCCCTCTGCAATCTGGGGCGCCAATCCCTCCCGGCCCCCTCGCCGATGGCTGGGACTCCCCATCCCCTCTGCAGCGCTTGCTGAGAGCCGATTGCTTGGGGGAGGGAGAGCGGCTCCTAGACATGCCCCGGGGCCGGGGCACACACTCACCAGGTAGGCGCCCACGGTGCCCTGCGCCAGCATCAGGGCGCACTCGGACACCAGGAAGATCTTGATGTTGGAGAAGCAGGAAACCTTCTTTTTCCGCTTCTTATTCCGCTGCGCCTCGTCCCCCTGCAGCTCGCCGCCCGCGGAGCCCCCGGGCTTCTTCCCCGGCATCCTTCCCCGCGCCTCGGAGCCCAGGCGCTCCCCGCTCCCGCCGCTGCCGGGCTGCCAAGGGGATGGAGGGGGCGCAGCGGGGCTCCCGCGTCCCCGGCTGCTCGCCTCCGCCTATGCCGGAGCGGGGTGTGCCAATCACAGCGGCAGCTGCCCGGCTCCTGCCTCTCTTCTGGCTGCCAGGGCCAGCTCCCCGCCGCCGCCTCCTCCTCCTCCTCCTCCGCTCGCCCTGCCTCCCTCCCTCTCCTCCTCCACTCGCCCTGCTGCGCACGGGCTGGCAGCGCCGCTGTCTCTCGCCAGCCCGGCTCCAGCCGAGCGCGCTCCCCCTCCTCCTGCGGCTGCAGCCGGGGAGTGGCTGTGTGTGGGCAAAGAAGGGGGTTTGAGCCCGGGCTAAGGGGGCTGCTGGGCTGGCCTGTCCCGGGACAGGCCGGGCAGGGAGCGATGCAGCGGGTGCAGCCCCTCCCGGCGTCCCAGCGGCAGCTCTCAGCAAGGGGCAGTGCCCACCGCAGCGCATTTCCCCAGGGTGGCAAGAAGGATCCAGCTGCTGAACTGATCCTGCCAGCTCTGCTGCCCGGGCGAGCTCCAGCTGCCCACCCGCTCCCTGGCACCCACCAGCCTACAGCTCCTGGGCACTGCCTGGTGGACCCCGGCTCCCTAGCCCATGCCAACCCCAGGCAGACCCACAGCGCCCTGGCACTGACCAACAGACTCCAGGCAACAAATAGACAATTCTCGGGCACCAGCCAAGGATTCAGGCAAACCCACTGCTCCCCTGCACATCGGTGGAGTCTCCTTTCGCACCTGCACTCCCCAGGCGGCTGGCTATACATACTGACTGCCATTAGCTTGTAAGAGCCCCCATAAATATCAGGCTATCGGATTGAGAATTTTTTTTTCTCCCTTTCTTAACTGCTTGGTTCAACTCGGTGCTGCTCCATACGGCACTTTGTGGGAGGGGGAGGGATGTATCCCAGGCTACAAACATTACAATTCGCTCTAGTTTTTGGACCCTTGTGACTTTTTCCTAGTGCAACCTGCTTTACTGCCTCTTAGGAGCAAGACCAGAAATGTTAGATGTTCCAATCCGGAAAATGGGGAGGGGGGGATTCTGATACCATGGTGAGGGGCCCAATACGAAAGTCTAGGTAGAGAGAAAGCAACATGCAGAAGTTTGTTTGAACACAAACCTCAGCAAAAAAAGGGAACTGTGGACAATAGAGCCAGATCCTCAGCTAATGTGAACGGACACAGCTCTACTGATTGCAGCAGTAGAGGTACAATGAGCTACAGCAGCTGAGGATCCAGCCCCATCTCGTTTCTTGTCATGCCCCAATGAAAGCACTTGCTTTTATGTGCCTGAAAACACATGGACTTTCGGCCACTAAGAACCCTACCAAAGGCAAGTTATGCTGCTTGCAAACAATTCAAATTCACTCCCAGTACCTCTTTCTATGCCCCTGACAAGCTCTTATTCTAAGGTACGTGCATCATATGCATGACCACTTCTCCTAATCGTCACTTGCTTTACATTATCACCAGCTCCAGAGTTCTAATTTCAAGAGATCTCCTTTTAAAGACCACTGTATAGCACTTCTACCATTACAGATCACATTCCTTCTCCGTCCAGCAGCAAAACCTGAGCTCCCGCTTTGCTCTGAGGGCATACCTTTCAAGTTTGAGTGTGACTTCTCATATTCTGTCATGGTTTTTTACCTTATTAATTCCCCGACCACTGGTATGTGGACCAGGCATTACTGGAAATTCTGGTTTTGGAGGATAGTACTTGCATTTGGAAATTCTGCTTGATGGGCTTTTTGTATGGATAGCTGGGTAGTGGCCTGTGACATAAAAGTCAGCATGGATGATCTGGTAAACCCCTCTAGCCTTCAGTTCTATAAGGATGTAGGAGAAGTGTTGTAAAAAGTGCCTAAATGACTCAGGAACGCAAATCCCATTTTCAAAAGTGATATAGGCACTGATTGAAAGTCACTTTTTAAAATGGGACTTGGTGCTTTTGAAAATGTTCCCCGTCATCAATCAGGGCATACGATAACCACTCACTGACTTAAAGTAGAGGGGGTCTTCACTTTTCATTTGAAAAATTGCCTTTTTGAAAAGCTGGGAGGGTTGCAAAAAGTCAATGAGCAATTAATAACTATTTCATAAACTATTGCAATCATATTTAAAATAATTAATTTTATTTCTCTTTAAAATGAAAAAAGATCCATTTCAAACACTTACGAAAAATACTTAAGTCGTTTTCATTTCAAACTAGTTTTTCCATTCCTTGACCAGCCCTCCATTCAGGTTAGTCCATATAGTTGCCTAGCACAGGGTTCAATGACTAAACAAAGAACAAGCACCTTCCTCTGAAGTATGCAACTGTTGGGGCAGGATATCAGAGGAGATGGACCTAACATGGGTCTAACAATTGTGTTAATCTTTCTTCTCCCTCCTTAATAAGAGAGGGTGAGAAGCTTCAACCCCTGGGTTCAGGGAAGGGAGAGTCTTAGGCTAGGTCTACACTACAGCGGGGTTCCGACCTAAGATACGCAACTTCAGCTACATGAATACCGTAGCTGAAGTTGCGTATTTTAGGTCGGCTTACCTGGCGGTGAGGACGGGGGAAAGCCGACCGCTGCCGCGCTGCCGCCGACTCCGCTGCCGCCTCTTGTCGAGGTGGATTTCCGGAGTCGACGGCAGAGCGATCAGGGATCGATTTTACCGCGTCCTCACGAGACGCGGTAAGTCGATCCCCGATAAACCAATTGCTACCCGCCGGATCGGCGGGTAGTGAAGACGTAGCCTTAGGTCTCCTTGGAGTGTCACAAAAGATTTCTATGTTAACATTTCAGTTGAGGAGGCAGATGCACTGACACATTTGTGACAAGGAGAACAGCTTCCTAAGGAATCCAAGTTTCATACTGATTGCCTGATACTTCTGGCTGGATTGCAGGGCATTTTTATCCCAGCAAATGGCAGACATCAAGTACTCTGTCCTCCAGAGACAGTGTACCTGATTCTCTTCTCATTTATACTAGTTTTCAAGCATTATATAACTCCATTGACTTACTGTGGAATTGCTCTGGTGTTAAGCAAAAGAATTAAGTTCATTATATTTTCAGTCAGATACATCAATAGCCCTGGAATTCCCTTTTCCAGGTTTCCATAAATCTGTTGCATTGAAATATTTTAGCAGAGAATACTTTGCTGTCTTGCTGAAATGTGTTCTACTGATACTTATATTTTAGTAAGATATGTCATGTTCCCAGTCTTCCAGGCCAGAGGAAACCATTCTGATCTAATCTGACTTCCTGCATAATACAAGCCAATAATTTCTACATCAACCCGATAACTCCTATTTGAGCTATAGCATCTCTTTAGAAAGATATCCAATCTTGATTTAAAGATTTCAAGTGATGAAGATCCACCACAACCCTAGGTAAGTTGTTCAGTTCTAATGGTTAATCACCCTCACTTAAAAATTTGCACCTTATTTCTAGTCTAATTTGTTTAGCTTCAGCTTCCAAACATTAGATCTCATTATTCCTTGTCTGCTAGAGTAAAGAACTGTCTATCAGCAGTTTCTTCTCCATACAGGTACTTGTAAAACTGTGATCACGTCACCTCTTAACCTTCTCTTGAACAAATCAAATAGATTCAGTTTCCTTAGTCTCTCACTATAAGGTGTGTATTCCAGACATTGATTCATATTTGTAGCTCTTTTCGGCTGTTTATCAGTAGTCTGACTGAAGAATTATGCCTTTGTTGTAGGCTATTTTAAGCTCTAAACACACAACTTTTCTTTTCCCATTCCTAAAATCAGCAGCTATTGTTCACATCATCAAACAAACATTTTCCTCGTTTCTAGCCACATCTTTACCAGTTGATAGACTGTTAGTCCTATCTTCTAAAATCTTTATCTCAGGAATTTATATAGTCCCCCTTTACCATAACATCTGAACACTTCACAGAGGGGTTGTGAGGGTAAATACATTAAAAGTCATGAGGCACTATTACCCCCATTTTATAGATGGGGAATTGAGGTGCAGAGAGACTTAAGTGACTTGTCCAAGGTTACACACAAAGCTTCTGGGAGAGCAGGAATTGAATCTGAGTCTCAGTGTAGACAAGAGTATAGAGTCAGATAGAGTCGTATTGTAGACAAGCCCTGAGTCTAACCACTGGACGAACCTTCCTCTCTGGCTAAACACCTTTCTTTGACTTTCATCCACAAATAGCAACCATAAGTTTTTGCAATAACCTAGAGAATCCAAAAATATTCGTAGCAAAGTAGCCAAGGGCCAGACATTTAAGTCATATCAAATATTTTCAGGAATCTGCTTCCACCAAAGTTTTATTATAGATTATAAATTACTTTAATATAAGCCTCCAAAAAGCAATAAAATTGTGATTTTCCCCTCACTGAATAATGACATGAATTTAAAATTTTATTGATGTCAAGGAAAGAAAATATTGCAATGCCTCCATAATATGTTCTCCTTTTTATAAAAAAAAAAAAGGGAAAATGATTCCTTAAGTAAGAATCTCCTGGTATGGTATGTGATTGGGACAGCATCTCCTGTCCAGCTCCTGATAGTGTGTGCAGATCTACACCATTTACATCCATAGAAAACTACTGTTAAGAGTTTCAAGGAGCCCGTTGATTTCTCTTTGGTGTTAAACTGAAAGCCAGCTCTATAATAAATCTTGACTTCCCCTTCATGCTTTGCTTCAGGAAAATATAAAGTAACCATTGATGCTTATGTTGTTATAGTATGTTGGTCATTAATAAGTTTATAAGCTTGGTGAAAAACAGATACATATAGAACACAGAACTAATAAAGAAAGCTAATTCTGTCTTTTAATGATCACCACCTCCGCATCATGAGAATACTTTTCTGTGCACATAAATCCCAATAAAGCCAACGGAGCAAGGATATGGGGGAGACTAAGCTTTGGACATTTTGCCCATTTGTTTCTTGAGGAAAACTAGTTTCTTT